GAAGGGGTCTAAGGACAAGGGCAAGGCTGTGTTTGACGCCACTGCCCAAACTGGGAAGGACGCTCATCCTAACCAGCCTAAGCAGTCGGCCATAGTGGGGCCAAAGCCCAAGTCCACGGGCTTTCTCCCGAGACAGACCATCCAGACGGCCTTCAAGGCCAATCACTCGTACTTTGCCGTCCTTTCCCCTCAGGCAGAGGATGAGGACGTTCCGTCCACTAGTCACCATCCTAAGATTTCTGACCTTGCGCTCCTTGACGACGATGATCTTCTGGTCGACGATATGGACCAGCCGAAGGCCTCGACCAGGGGTGAGTCCATCCATTTGTCCGATGACAGTGCACGCGACGCAGACCCTCAGACCGTGCGTGCATCCAGTCTGGACCGCGGCCCTCTAGATTTGAGGGCTAGTGCCTCCACCGCTCCCCCGAAAGGGGATCAGTCGGTCCCTCCTCTCTCCCCGGAGATTAGGACCACGGCTGAGCATATAGCCAGCCCCCACCCTTCCTCTGGAGGCGAGCACATGACTGCCCCGCCGGCCGGACATCCTCTTTCTCCCATACCCGAGCAGGCATGCGGTCTTAACCGCGCTCAGCATGACGTCTCCTGCGAGAGCTTCGCGTCTAGTGCCTTTGTGCACCATGACAGACAGGAGACAACCCCGGATATGGGGCAAGCCGCTAGTGTCGCTCTTGGTCAGATTGCCCAGCCAGACGACACACAGGCCACGAGCGCCATCCGAGGCAGGCAGTATACGAGGACCAGAGCCTCACAGCGCACGCTGCGGCGGACTGCCTCCCCTGCTATTGGATCATTTCGACGTCGCCCTGCTTTACGCAGCGCGACTCAGCCTCGCCACAGGCGGACTATGTCCAGTGGCTCTCGCGACAGTTGATATGTCAGTCACGTCCATTACTTGGAATGGCCGTGGCCTGGCGAACATGGCTACCCTCTCTCACCTCCATTCTCTGATTCGTGACCACAGACTCGATTTTGTTGGCTTCATTGAGCCAAATGATTCGCAACCCTTCGCTTGACTACTACTCGCGTCGCCTTGGTTTTCACTCGGGCGTCGGTAATATGTCGCATAAGATCTTCTTCTTTCACTCGCGTGATTACACTTGTCGGGTCCTCCGTGACACCGATCAGGTGCTTCACGTTGAGCTCTCCGCTGCCCACCTCCCGGAGCCCATCTATCACACCTTGGTCTATGCCAAGTGTACTAGGGTCGGGCGATATGATCTTTGGGACACCCTGCGTGAGATTGCCGAGAGTATGGAGGGATTGCCATGGATGGTTAGTGGCGATTTCAACATCTTTCTGCACCCCGATGAGCGCGTGGGTGACCGCACGGACAGATCACGAGAGATGTGGGATTTTGCACAGACTGTGGCGGACTGTGAGTTGCTTGATGCTGGATGCGAGGGTGAGCCCTTCACGTGGGTTAGGGACGACCTCAAGGAGAGGCTCGACCGTGCTTTGATTTCTGAAGCGTGGTCGAAGGTGTTTGCGGTCACGACCGTCACGCACCTCACTCGATTTGGGTCTGACCATTCACCCCTCCTCATTAGATGTCGTTTTTCGAGCACTCCTCGCCGCGCTTCCTTTAGGTTCCAAAACATGTGGGTTCGCCACCACTCCTTCCACGACACTGTCAGGGATTCCTGGCTTCAGCCGACTGGGCTCTTCGGGATGCGCAATCTCGAGGCGAAGCTCGGCAGACTGCGGCGTCGGTTGAGACAGTGGAACTGGGATGTTTTTGGAAACCTTCATCACCGCCTTACTGCAGCTCAGAGTGCGCATGCGTCGGCTGAGCGGGCCTATGACCTGGATCCCACTCCGGAGAATAGGACCGCCATGCACCGCTGCCACGCAGAGTACCAGCTCCGACTCCTTATGGAGGAGGACTTCTGGAAGCAGAAGGCGGCCATTCGCTGGGTGGCCGAGGGCGAACGGAATACTAGGTTCTTCCAGGGCTACGTTAGACAGAAGCGTGCTAAGTCGTACATCCATAGTATCGAGGCTGATGGGTCATCCTTGACCCAGGAGGCTCAGATTCGGGAGTCGGCTGTTGCTCACTTCCAGACCCTCTTCACTTCTGACAGAGGGTCCCTCGTGGCCCCGAACGCTTCATCTTTCCCCACCATCCCTCCTTCGGTCGATCTCATTGGCCTCTGTGAGCTCCCAAGCAGGGAGGAGGTTAGGGATGCTGTATTCGGGATCGATCCCAACAGCGTTTCTGGCCCGGATGGTTTCTCTTCCCTCTTCTATCAGGTCTGCTGGGATATTGTCGAGACTGACGTCCAGGAGGCGATGTTGGATTTTTTTTCCGGCCACCGGATGCCGGATTCCTTCACGTCTACCTCCGTCGTCTTGATCCCCAAACGACCCAACCCGAGCTCTTGG